GTTTAATCCATAGAACATGTTTTGCTCACAACTATTTTAATATAATTATTTCCATATTTATTATTCATATTCCTGAATTCATTCATGCGTTCCTACAACTGTTCATATTACGTTAAAAAACGAAAATGTAAAAAATGTCCTGTACTGTCAAAATGTAAATAAGAATTGGCGTAAAACAAAAACATTTTTATCAAAATAATTATCTGAACATGTCCTGATGCATCTCAGTAATCCAGGTAAAAAAATCAAAAGGAAAAAAATTTGTACAGGTCCTCTGGACGGGTTCTTCTTTAATGAAACGTTTCGTCTCTCTTCCAAGAGACTTCTTCAGTCTGAGAGTTTCATAAAGCCTGAATTTTGCCTGAAACTCTCAGACTGAAGAAGTCTCTTGGAAGAGAGACGAAACGTTTCATTAAAGAAGAACCCGTCCAGAGGACCTATACAATTTTTTTCCTTTTGATTTTTTTACCTGGATTACTGAGATGCATCAGGACACCTGCTGAGAGCTTGTCTTGTCAGAAGCACAGTTTCCTCCACCAGGTTTCCTGATCATCTGTTCTCTGTCCAGATGACACCAGGTACCTTCCTGCCCGTCTCTCTGATCATTGTAGCTGCAGTAGTCAGTCATCTGGTTTTTTCTGACCATCCAGGGCCTTTAACAGCTCCTCATGTCTCATGTCAGCAGCTCTGTCCTTACCTGTCATTGTCTCTACGTTTAGTTTCCACCCTCTGTCCTACACTTTTGATTTTCCTATTCTTTCTCTCCTTGTGGTCTTCCACAAACAGTAGCACAGTTTCTATTGGCACTTTGTTTGTCATCAGCAYCAGTGGTGGTCCTTGTTGTTGACCCGGGTCGCGACTGATCCAGTATGGTGTTGTTTGGATGACTTGCATGTTTGTTTTGGCAAAAGGACTTTATGCTGATGCTCTTCCTGGCACAACCATCACCATTTAATAAAGCTTAGGACCAGCATGATAAATCACTGGTGTGTGTTCCATCGTGGCTGGTTTCTAAGAGACAGAAGGAGGAAACCCCCCCCCCCCCCACCATCCCCCATGTTAGTGAGGCTGATCTCAGGCAACAGGTTGTGTACAGAACAGCAGGATTTATCAACCCACAGGCCAAACAAAATGTATGATAAATCCAGGATGTATCTCTGAGGAAAGTATTACTAATATTAATAAAGTAAATCAAAACAAACAAAATTAATTTAAACCTAACCTCACGCAAAATTAGAGAATTTGCATTTCTTGCAAAATGCTTAATACTGAAATATTTTTCCTGAATAGTTAAAAATTCTGAAACTAGCCTAAAATAGCTAAAAAGAACTTGCAGAAATTATAAAGAAATAGAACGAGCATGTTTGCTGAATTGAGTCGTAAGAGTCTAATATCACAGCATGATGAAATTAGCTGGAAAAAAAACTACAAGTAGTTAAAAAGTAGCTAAAAACAAAGAAAACTGCTGAAAAAGCTTAAAATAGCAGAAATATATATACATATATATATATATATATACATACATACACATACATACATTACATGTGTACATGGTCAAAAATACAAATATAAATCTACATAGCAGTATAAGCTTTTATAATTTTACTTTTTTAGGCTCTTTTAAAGTTAACCAAAAAAGCACATAATTTGAGATTCAACTCATTCCATAATTTCACATGAATAACTGAAACACATCTAGATTTTACTTTACTTTTCTCTTTAGCTTGTTCAAAAATAAACAAACTTCATAAATTATATTCACTCTCTCTTAACTTAAATAAGTTTTGAATTCCAGAAGGAAGACTTTTATTCAATGATAGCTAAAACCCTCCAAAAACCTAAAATCATTGTAATAGAAGCTGAATTCTAAWATATAGCATCTGATATAGGTATTTATATAAATACAAATAGGTAAAATATAAAGATTTTCTAAAATTAGTGCAAAGAACAAAAGATTTGAAGAAGATTAGAACAAATAAATAAAAAGATCAGTTAAAAATGTATGAACATATCAAAGTCATAGCAGGAATGTCTTGAAGGAGCAGAATGTTTTGATATATAAATTGTAAAAAATGCACAAAAAGTGCAGAACAAGATGCATGCCGCAAAACGTACAGAAGAAAACATGTTAGTGGTGCAAATACTTGATAAACATTCACACAACAAAAAGCATGTGAAAAACATTTAAACTTCTCAGCAACCAGTGTGAGAACATGAGGCTGGACGGCAGGGATACTGAATAAATATACACATGAACTGCCATACAACTTTTTAAAAAGTCACTTAAATGATACAACTGCCTTCCATACAGCAGCTCTTGTCTATCCACTGCAGCTGACCATGGTTATTGACCCCGTGGAGTTTTTCCAAACAGCTGCTTTGAATTAAACTGACTGGACTTCTGCATGTTATCTGGAACCAGCCATGTTTTTGTTTGACTTAAAGAGTTTAAATAAAATCTTTCTTTGCTTCTTTTCTTTTGGTTCTGTCTGTCAGCAGAAGGCAGGTAAATAAAACATGTCTGCTTTGAGAGTGATTGAAAAATTTGTTGTCAGTTTACACGTCCAGAACATCTGCATGTTGTCTTACAGGCAGCAGATGATGTGCAGAACGGTTAGTTTGAGTTTGTTTTCTTCCTCTAAGTTCTGGTCCAGTGATCTCAAATGATCCACATTTGGCCCATGAGCTGCAAATTTCTGGACCCCATACTGCCTGTTTACTGACAGTGGCTTGTGGTTCTGGATGGGACAACAGGTCCAGAATCCTGATCCTGGTTGATTGGGTACAGTCACTGTGTGCTTTTGGTTTGGCTAACATGTTAAATGAAAACAATGTACTGATAGGTTGACTCACAGAGAGTTTACTGCAGTTTCCCTCCTTTCTTCTGGTCCTTTGGATTTATATTTAAAAATAAATTATTTTCTACCTCCTCCTGACAGAGGTTCTGATTCWATTTTTTTTACAAATAGAAATGACATTTTATTTGAATAAGTAGTTGTTTTGAATAAAAAGAACATTTTGTTTAATTTTGAATACATCTGGTTTAATAATTAATCAAATCCCACATGCCTAGTATAATCAGTTCAGAATAATTAATAAATAGGAAATAGGAGAAACTTTTGTACTTATTCATTTTATGACTCAAAACAGGGTTAAAAAGTTCCAAAGAGGGAATAGAGTCATGTGAACTCAGCCAGTAATGAGGATTACAATATTTTCTTCAGCAATAAGCGCATTAGGAAACTTACAGAGGTCTTAATCTGCTCATAATTAGTGTCGGCATGGAAAGAAAAGGTGATCCTGCTGAGCCAGGCCAGCAGAGGGCAAACAGTCCTGCTTAGGACAACGTCTAGAGTCTTAAGGCTGTTTGGTTCTGAAGAGTTCATTAATGTTTTACCCATCATTAGGCTCTGATCAAACCATGTTAAATCAGCACTGACGCTCACAATAACTTAAAAGCACATCAACAACTAACCCTAGTAAAGACTAACACTGTGAGTCGAGTGTGGGCTAATGTGGACATGAGGATAAAGCTAGCCAGTACACTGAATGACTAGGCTAATGTGGATTAGTTATAGATGTTTATTTAGCCTATACTTTCTGAAAATGTCATATCCAGCCTTTAATGAGATATTTTGCTAACAAACACGTGACTCCAATGGTTCATAGTAAATTTTGAAGCTAAGTTCTCACACAATGAGTAACACGGACTCTCAGCTACTACCACACTAAAGGTTAGCACCAGAGGTGGAAAACATTTTTGTTTTCTAAGGTGATTGGCTGTGTCGACCGTCATCCGGTCTGGTCTTAAACATAGAGCAGTTGTAGATGAATACATACATGTCAAGTTTGTCCGTAATCTACATGGATTTTCCCTCATTTTGCAGGTATACTGACGTAGAGAGCAATCTCAAAGATTTTTTTTCCAAAACGCAATTTAAAATTTATTTAATATGTCACAACCTGTAGGACATTTAAAAAAACTATAAATAACATCAAATAACCATCTTCCAACCCACTCTGCCACTGCTCTCATTTCTCCACAGTTGACAGTCCACCTGTAACCGCCCCCATCCCCCACCCACTGTGCGCGCATGATTAATACAGATTTTTTTGTGAAAATTGCAGATTTTTGAGGCTCATTATACAGGTAAACATCCAAAGGGGTTGATATGTATGTGAACATCCACTGTTAACTTTCAGACCACTTCAATGAAATCTATCTAGTTTCTAGGTATCTCTGCTCAAAYGTATCTGATTTAATGAGTGTATGATTGACAGGCTTCTGCAGAACTTATAGAGGTAATTTAATCACTGAATCAGGTGTGTTGGAGAAGAAGAAGAAGTAAAACAGTCAGGATAGTGGCCCTCAAGAACACACATCTTAAAGTTAAAAAACCTTCCACAACCATTGCAGAATGGGTCTCTTCTTTTAAGCGTCTGTTAACAGACAGGCATCAAGGTTACTGGTCAAAATAAAACACTCTAATGACACACTAAGACATGGTACCATACACCATTCTTACATTGCAGTGTGTTGCAACAGCATTCAATTCAATGCATACATAGTGCACACTCACCAGCCACTTTAAATCAACTTGTTCATTTTCTCATTATTACAAGCAGCCAATCACCTAGCAGGGTGGGGGAGGGGGGTGATTGGGAGGAACTGATCTAAAGTTCAGTTGTTCGACTTCTGCACTAGTCACAGTTTGTCCCTCACAATCATTATGTTCCAACATAAGAAAACTACGAGGTGAAGAGTCAACACAAGCCGATGTTTTTTTAGACACATAACTTTTAATAATTGACATTGGCTCTTACTGAGGTAAACGAGTTTAAGGAGGCCTTAGATAAGGACTCTTAATCGGCTCCAGGAAGATTCTGGCAAATTCTGTCACTGAGGTGTGGCAGGAGTTAACCCTTAACTACATAAGTCATCAGGTAGTGGAAAGAAAACCTCAAGGACCTTCTTAATCCCACCTGCATATCTTCCATGGAGGAAGCCGAGTCTGGGGTGACATTACTGTTGGCTAGGAACACAAAACAAATGGCCACCACATACTCAGGCATACTTCACTCCACGAAGGTCCATGCGGACTCGAAGTGGACATTTGCCGGACAGGTTTGTGTAGAGATCAGTTTTTTATGCCCATGTCCACGGTGTTGCACCATAAACTGCCCGTCAAAATTACATTGAACTGTTTTGGATGAGACATAAAGCAGATAAAATTGAGAATTGGTGTCAACTTGTGGATGAAAACGGAATCAAATTTTGAAGAGTGTCCCACAGAGGAGATTAGAAAACATACAAACTACATGACACAAAGAATATAAGGACTTTCAAAGAGCAAAACATTTGTGGAACGAACTAGCTCAGACCCTGGTTAAATTGATTTCCTTTGCTGGTTTAAAGGGGCAATATCATATAAAATCAACTATTTTGAGTTTTATACTGTATCATGTTAAAATGTTACACTCTCATAAAAATATGCCCAAAGCCTTGCTTTGACTCATTCATGCATGTTTGAGAAATCCTGCAGCATTTTTAGGAAGCCATGCAGAGGAGGAAAACGAGAGGTGGGGACTAGAAACGCCTGTTGGTAACAGAAACGCCCCTGGGACATGTCTTTAAGCCAAATTTCCTCATGGCAGAGCGCACCCCCTCTCCTCCTCCCCACACACCCCGCCCATGACTCCTGCAGGCTCTCGGCAGCAAGTACCCCCGGCTGCAGACTGCGGATTAGGATAGTAGACGGGGTCGGATGTCCAATGGGTGTGGTCATGGCTTGTAGGGAAGTTTAATAGGAGGCTTAAAACATTGGGTGTGGTTAATTTTAGTATTTAGCATCTGGGGTTGGTTAATTTTAGAGTTGAGGGCGGGGTCAGACGTCCGACCCCGCCTGTTATCTGACCCCACCCCATGCCGCGGTCTGCAGCCAAGGGTTACTCCTCGGCAGTAACAGAGCAAAAGTGAAAGTGAAACTTACTGTCTGCTGCTCTCCACACTACTTGTCACTCAGTGAAGCTCTTTTCAGATTCAAAATACCTTTGAGGAAATGTATTTTCAGATGCCAAGTAAACTGCATCATAGCGTACGGGCAAAACAAACCACCCCCGCGTGCGCGCGCGACTCCCCCCCCCCCCCCCCCAACGGGTGACGGGGATGGGACTGGACAGAAGCAGGAGGAGGTTCTTAAAGAGACAGGCCAATTTCAAGGCATTTAGAAGAGGAAGAAATTAGAAGAGGAGTTTCTTTTTCTATTTAAACATAAAAACAGCATTTTAACAACAACTAAAGGTGACATAGATACTTTATTAATGTATAGTATTTAAATATATGCCTGAGAAACACATAATATTGGCCCTTTAAAGCTAAAACACAAGCTATCTTTCTCCTTGTCCATTGATGCATGACTGAAATTGTGAGAAATTAAGGAATTTGTCAGACAGTCAGTACACTTGAGTTTAAAATCTCAACCATTTGTGAACATTATGTGCAGAGTCCGCGTTGCTCATGTACAGTACACAGTACACCTGAGTATGTGAGAGTCTTTAGGCTAAAGTTCACAGAGGCACACCAATAGTGGTCTGATCTGAAAAGTCAGAATTCACTGACATCCAGTCACCAGGTCTGAGTCTGATCTCATCAGTACATCAGAGGTGTAGAATACTGCCATCAATTTAGAAAACCCATTTCACAACAATGAGACCTGAACAATTAACTTTCATGAGCCTGACAGTGAGAGTGGTTCAGTCACTTCAGAGAGGAACATGCAGCTGGAAGTCAACAGATCCAAAAACATATGCTCAAATGCTCTGAAAATCCACTGAAAATCCAGGAGTGACATCAAACCAAAAGGTAGGACAGAATTTCAGTTGRTTTGTTATGTTGTTGTAACAAATAACCTGCCTGTATGTACTTCTACAACTGATGAAACCTCTGAACCAACCAAATTCAAGGCCACTACAGACAACTGATCTTAAAAACACAACAACGCGTTTAATTCAGTAAATTTGACACATTGTTATAAACTAAGGTGTGGTAGTAGCTGAGAGTGGTTCACAATGTTTAGTCTGTGAGTGATGTCTTGTAAAATCACAAGATTGTACATAACCTTCTAACATTTGACCAAAGCAGCTCTAAGTCTGTTCCTTGTCATTCTAAGACAATCTTAGTTTAAAACACAACATGAAATATGGAGGGAGAACTGCACCCTTTCTACAAATTCTAGGTCTTTAATTTATGACAAAAGGTCAAAGGAGGACAGTCCTTTTAACCTGAGAGACAGAGTGCAGGTTCTTACCGCTGTGGAAAGTCTGGAAGCCAGTGTCATCTCCAAGTTCCCTTTGAGTCCCAGCAGAGCAGGAACCAAGATGAAGACCTCTGATATCTCTGTGAACACCGTCCAGTGCTGCAAAGACCACCATGCACAGAAGCAGATCATCAGTAATACTTCAGACTCGTCCAAAAATGAATAAATTCTCTGTTGACCAAAGCAGACACTAAATCATCTAAAAGTTCAAGAATGTTTATTATCCCCAAGGGGCAATTTGTTGCACATCCAGTAGACATAAAAACTACAAAACAAAAACATTCATGCACAAAYACACAAAAATCACAGATGTTCATTAAGAAATGGAACTGCTGCTGGGATAAATGAGTTTTTAAATCTATTGTTCCTACATTTGGTCAACTGATACCTGCGTCCAGATGGAAGCAGCCTGAATTCACCATAGAGTGGGTGATCAGGGTCTGCCAGAATAAGTCTGGTCTTTTTCAGTGACCTGACCTGGTACAGGCCCACCTGCAATAAAAATGTGATAAAATCCACAGACTCTGAGCTAAATTTTGACAGAACTGTTGCAGATGATCATCTTCAACACAAACTTTACTCTACACATCATCTTTACCTAAAACCACTGCTGAAGTCAAACTTGTTTTTTAGTAAACTATTTCATGAACTACTGGACAGATTTCAAAGAAACTCTCACATTGTATTTACTGGATGTGTATCTACACCAGAGTCAACCCAGATCAAAACTTTAACTGACATGATAATAACAATGGCTAAAGTTTGATGTGATAGTGTAACACATTCTCACTCCCGACTCGTTTGACGCTTTTCCAAAGTTCCTTCTGCATCTTATTTTGATGTGTCGGGTGACCCACTCGCATCAGTCCTTGCCGCCTGCGGTTTTTACGGGTTGCRCCACCAGGGGTCTTTGAGTCGGGGGTCTGAGGGATCAGGATAAATGGTTAAGTTTAGGTACTGGGGTCTGGGATATGATGTCTACAGAGAATATTAGGTAATTGTACTCTTTGGAAGATGTAGTTGACATGAATTTCCTACATTTTCTAAAAATGGTTAATTTTAGGTACTAGGATCAGGGACAGGATGTCTAAAGTGAATAAAGGTAATTTTAGGCTTTGGGACGGTAGTTTTTGTGCATTTTCTACACTTTCAGTGTACAAAGACCCATGGCTCATGGCTCCATGTATGGAGGCCCAGGATGCTTCAATAGTGGCCTTAAGCTCATCCAGAGTGTTTAGGTCTTGTGTCTCTCAACTTCCTTTTCATGATATCCCACAGATTCTCTCTGGGGTTCAGGTCAGGAGAGTTGGCAGGCCAATTGAGCACAGTAATACCATAGTCAGTAAACAATTTACCAGTGGTTTTGGCACTGTGAGCAGGTGCCAGGTCGTGCTGAAAAATGAAATCTTCATCTCTGTAGGGGTCACCTCGAGTGAAGAAACAGGAGTTACTGCCTCAAAGCAGGTCTCGGACAGGCCTGAGAGAAGGCAGGAACACTGAACTCTATTTTAGGCCATGATGGGTCATTTCAACCTACACGAGGACTTCAGTTCTCTAGTCAGATATTAACAGAAACAATCTGTTCTGTTCGTGATTCATTGGTTGTTTAACTAAGAATGTTTATGCATCTGTTAATCACAATAATGACATGTCACAAAGAAAGAAAGTATCACTTCTATTCTTTTATCGTGCCTAAAATAGATTAATGAATCACAGAAAATCATCATCATGTTTTCATTGTGTTTTTATAAATCACTGTTTTTATTTTACTGAAACATCAGTAATATAATTTTGAGTTTGTCTTAAGAAAATCTTACATTTATCTGGAC